ATCCCTGCAGCTCAACAGAATCGTGAAAAAATCTCTTCGAACTTTATGGATTAGCGAGAGTGGAGGGGGGGAAAGTAGGAAAAGAGGAGGGAGAGATCACGTTCAAGATAGATGAAAATGCCTCTTTTGAGTTTACAGAAATTTTTCAAGAGCCGGTATCAGAACCATAATCAAAGTCGGGGGCAAAGAGGATAAGGATTTGAAAAGTAATTAGTGTTGCTGTTGAGTTTTTTCACAATTTCATTTACATTTTATTAAAGGGATACGAGAACAAAATGGAATGGAAAAATCTTAGTAAATGGGTATATGGTATCTTGCAAAATACTGAGTATTTACTGAGCCAAGTCTCACCACGAAATTAAAATTTTCTAGAGTTTGATTAATACTTCCAAGAAAGTTTCATACCTCAGGCACCATGTTACGGATATCCTGTTCGTTATAGTTGGCAGTACGTTCTTTCGGTTCTTAGGATTCCTGTAACAGCAAATAAACATTATCCCAAAATCCTTATTAATACATTCTGACGATGAAAATGCGGTAGACCTACATGTACCAACTTTAATCCATAAGAAAAAAACACTTCTCTGCCAAATTGGGCGAGAGGCTTCGCTTTGGTAACACTGTTTTATCTATATATATGACGCACATCCTCGACTCTGAGGTTAACTAGATATGCTTGTTAGTGTATAGTAATGTCTGAGCGGTGTAGTAGAGAGTGTTGCTGGGCTGAAAGAGATTGTTAAGAGGGGACATTGGAGCCACTTTCCTGAGTATCGGAAGGATCTCTCCGTTCGTAAGAGTAAGTTGTGGTTTGTGTATTATTTTCTGATACATGGATAAGTAAGATCCTGAATTTGCAGAAGAAGAATCGGTATTGCATATTGCCAACAGCTTGCCAGTCTCCTTTTCGTGGTTTCTGACAAGTTGATGCAATTTTCATATAAAGAATGCACCTATATATCTATTCCTACACCTATCTTTATATTTATATCCATATATATATATATATATATATTATATATATATATATATATATATATATATATATATATATATAGAGAGAGAGAGAGAGAGAGAGAGAGAGAGAGAGAGAGAGAGAGAGAGAGAGAGAGAGATAGATAGATAGATAGATAGATAGATAGATAGATACACATATATATCCTCCTTTTTCTCCTCTTCCTCGTCCTCCTCCTCATCATCATTACATCATCACCATCATTATAACAATAATAACAGCAATAGTAATAACAATAATAATGAAAATTCAAATGACAATACGTATCACTTTTCTTTCTTCCCCCCCCCAGCGGCGGCAGCGATGTGAGGGCATGAGAACTCTCCCAACACACAACTGAAGACAGGGACAGAGAGACCGACAAAGAGCCTGAAAAGCCGCGATGGCGACGAAGACGACCGCCGCTGAAGTCCTGACCGAATCGCCCTGCAAAACCGGTCTTGTCCAAAGCAGGATAAAGGGAGGGATCCTGAAGGTAAAGCAACGTGGTTTCGTCAGGATAAAGGGAGGGATCCTGAAGGTAAAGCAACGTGGTCTCGTCAGGATAAAGGGAGGGATTCTGAAGGTAAAGCAACGTGGTCTCGTCAGGATCAAGGGAGGGATCCTGAAGGTAAAGCAACGGGGTCTCGTCAGGATAAAGGGAGGGATCCTGAAGGTAAAGCAACGTGGTCTCGTCAAGATAAAGGGAGGGATTCTGAAGGTAAAGCAACGTGGTCTCGTCAGGATAAAGGGAGGGATCCTGAAGGTAAAGCAACGTGGTCTCGTCAGGATAAAGGGAGGGATCCTGAAGGTAAAGCAACGTGGTCTCGTCAGATAAAGGGAGGGATTCTGAAGGTAAAGCAACGTGGTCTCGTCAGGATCAAGGGGGGATCCTGAAGGTAAAGCAACGGGGTCTCGTCAGGATAAAGGGAGGGATCCTGAAGGTAAAGCAACGGGGTCTCGTCAAGATAAGGGAGGGATCTGAAGGTAAAGCAATCAGGGTGAAGGTAAAGCAACGTGGTCTCGTCAGGATAAAGGGAGGGATCCTGAAGGTAAAGCAACGTGGTCTCGTCAGGATAAAGGGAGGGATCCTGAAGGTAAAGCAACGTGGTCTCGTCAGGATAAAGGGAGGGATCCTGAAGGTAAAGCAACGTGGTCTCGTCAGGATAAAGGGAGGGATCCTGAAGGTAAAGCAACGGGTCTCGTCAGGATAAAGGGAGGGATCCTGAAGGTAAAGCAACGTGGTCACGTCAGGTGAGGGATCCTGAAGGTAAAGCAACGTGGTCTCGTCAGGATAAAGGGAGGGATCCTGAAGGTAAAGCAACGGGGTCTCGTCAGGATAAAGGGAGGGGTCCTGAAGGTAAAGCAACGTGGTCACGTCAACAGCAGGATAAAGGGAGGGATCCTGAAGGTAAAGCAACGTGGTCCTTCAACTTTATTATATTATTATTAACTTTATTTATTATTTATTAACTTTATTATATTATAATTAATATTTATATTTATATTTATTAATACTAATATTTATTTATTATTTATTAACTTTATTATATTATTATTAACTTTATATTATTATTATTATTATTATTATTATATTTATCATTATATTATTATTATCCTTCAACGTGGAGGGATCCTGAAGGTAAAAAGACGCGAACGGCTGGTCGATCACAAGCTGTTCCTGTTAATAATTCGTTATTGGTATTACAGTAATGATAGTTATTATTATTATTATTGTTATTGTTACTGTTACTGATATTATTAACATTATCATTATTATTATCATCATTATTACTAACATTATTATCAACATCATTAGTATTGTTATTATTATCATTATCAGTATCGGCATTATCATTATAACATTATTATTGACATTCTTATCATTCTTATCTCATTACTGTTTTCACCATTGTTATTATTATTATTATTATTATTATTATTATTATTATTATTATTATTATTATTATTATTATTATTATTATTATTATTATCATTATCATTATTATCATTATTATTATTATTATTATTATTATTATTATTATTATTATTATTATTATTATTATTATTATTATTATTATTATTATTATCATTATTATTTTTTTTGTTATCAATATTATCATTATTATTATTATCATTATAATAATAATTATTGTTGTTGTTGTTGTTATTATTATTATTATTATTATTATTATTATTATAATTATAATAATAATAATAATAATAATAATAATTATTATTATTATTATTATTATTATCGTCATTATTATTATTATCTTTATCATTATTATCATTATTATCATCATTATGATTATTATTATTGTTGTTGTTGTTGTTATTAATGTTATTGCTATTGTCATTATCATTAACTTTATTATTATTAGTAGTAGTAGTAATAGTAGTAATAATTATTATGATCTTTATCAACGTTATTGGTATTACAGTAATGATAGTAATAGTAACAATGATGATAATAATAATGATGTTAATAACAATAATGATTAATGATAATAATTATAGTAATGATGAAAATGGTAGTAGTAATAATAATAATAATGATAATGATAATAATAACAATGCTAATAATAATGATAACAACAACAACAATAATATTAATGATGATGTTAATGATAATATCAATAATAATGATGATGATAATAATAGTGATAATAATAATAATGATGATGATGATGATAATAATAATAATAATAATAATAATAATAATAATAATAATAATAATAATAATAATAATAATAATAATAATAATAATAATAATAATAATAATAATAATATAATAATAATAATAATAATAATAATAAATAATAATAATAATAATAATAATAATAATAATAATAATAATGATAATAATAATGATAACAACAACAACAACAACAATAATAATAATGATAATAATAATAATAATGATAATAATAATAATGATAATAATAATTACAATAATAATAAGAATAATGATAATGGTAGTAATAATAAAAATCATGATAATAATAATCATGATAATAATGATCATGGAATTAGGATTATTATCATCATTAATATTATCACTGTTATTAGAATTTTTATGATAGTGATAATAATATTGATAATTGTTATTATTTATTTTCGTCATTGTTATTAAAATCAGCATTATTGTGATTATTCATTACTATTATTATCATGATTATTAATTTTGTCATTTTTATTGCCATTATTGTCATTGTTATTATTATTATCATTTCTATCACTTTTATCAATATTGTCATTATTTTTATTATTATTATTATTATTATTATTATTATTATTATTATTATTATTATTATTATTATTATTGTTATTATTATTATTATTATTGTTATCATTATTATTATTTTCATTATTATTATTATCATTATTATTATTTTAATTTTTATTATTATCATTATTATGATTATTATTATGATTATTATGATTATTATTATCATCATTTATACGATTATCATTCTCATTATTGTTATTATTCTTTTTATTGTTATTATTATTATTATCATTATTATTATTATCATTATTATTATTATTATTATTATTATTATTATTATGTTATTATCATTATTATTATTATTATTATTATTATTATTATTATCATCATCATCATCATTATTGTTATTATTGCTATTATTATTTTCATTATTATTATTATTATCACTATTATTATTATTACTATTATCATTATTATTATTATTATCATTAATGTTGCTATTGTTGTTGCTGTTATCATTATCATCATCATCATTAATATTACTACTATCATTATTATCATTATCAGCAGATCGCTAATAGTTTTATTATTAATATCAATATTATATATATCATTAATATTATTATCATCAGTATTATTTTTATTAATTCTACCATTGCTATTGATATTACTTTTATTATGATTATTATTATCATTATCATTATCATTGTCATTATTAGTAGTATCATTATCATTATTGTTATTATTTTTTTCTTGCTTTAATCGTTGTAATTTAGTTTTATTATTGTTGTTATTAATATTATTATAATTATGTATATAATCTTCAATTATGATGAAATTATAATTGTTCTAATCATAACTACTATTATGATAATCATTGTCATTACTATGTTATTTATTATTGTTGTTATTATATCTATCATTATTATTATCATCACTGTTATTGTTATGCTTATTATTGTTATTATTATCATTATTACAGTTATTATTATTATTATTATCATTATTATTATCATCATTATTATTATTATCATAATCATCGTCATTATTGTTATTGTTTTGCTCATTATTGTTGTTGTTATTATTATTACAGTTATTTATAATTATCATTACTATTATAAATATCATCATCTTTATTATCATTATCATAATTATTCATATTATGATCATTAGAATTACAATTTTGTTTTGGGTATTATTTTCATAGTTGTTGTTATTGTTATCATTATTACCATTATTTCTATTACTATCATTATAATCATCATTGTTATTGCAATTATCGTCATTATTATTTCTATTGATATCACTATTATCACCATAATTGTTGATAATATTACTGTTATTATCACCGTTGATATCATTTCATTATTACTACTAATATCATTATAGAAAAATATTGCTATAATCATTAATATCCCCATCACTATCTTTGTATTTTATATATTATTCATATTACTATATACTTTTATTAGTTTTGTTAAAATATTTCTATTATTATTGCTGATATATTCGGAATTAATATTACCATTGCTATTGTCATATGTATGACTGTCATCATTAATGTCATTATTTTTTTTCTTGTTATCATCACTGTCCTTATCATTTTCCTTATCTCATTATCATTTTCATCATTATTATCCTCATTGTTGTCATCATTACCATGATTAATATAATTTTTATCATTACTGTTATTATTATTGTTATCATCATCATTGTATAATAGTATTGTTATTGTTGTTATTACTATAGTAATCATTATTTCAGCGTTATTATTGTTATTGTTATTATCATCATTATTATAAGTGTTATCATAATTATTGGTGTCATTATTATTCTATCTTTATCATTATCATTATTGTCAATATTATTGTAATTATTATCACTATTATTATTATTATTATTATTATTATTATTATTATTATTATTATTATTATTATTATTATCATTATTATTATTATTATCATCCTTATTATTATTATTGTTATGATTATGATGATGATGATGATGATGATGATGATGATGATGATAATTATCATCATCATCATCATTATTATTATTATTGTTATTAACTTTATCATCATTTTTTAATTAATTTCACTATCGTAATTATTGTTAACATTATTGTTATTATTATCATTAGTATTAATATTAGTATTAGTATTATATTTTATTGTCATTGATACTATTGATGACAATTATATCATTATTGTTATCCTTATTGTTAATATAATCATTATTATCATTGATGATTATTGTTATTATTCTATTATCAATATCATTATCAATATATATGATTTAATGCCACTAAAATTTGGTGGTGACCCGGTCATGATATGAATCCAGGTCATGATATGAATTTTTAGATTGCATTAGTTACCCCTATTACACTGGCTTAGGGGTAACTATTATAATTAACCTTACGGATGTCATGAGTGTACTTGAGAAAAAGGTGATTTTAATGTAATTCTTTAATATTTCTATTATCTTGGCCGACAGATGTGCTCTTTGAGTTGTCATTATTATCATTACCTTTAATATTTCTAGTAGATACGTTTTTACTATTATTGTTATTATTTTTGTCGTTATTATTATTATCATCGTTATTATTACTATTATCTTACTATTAGCTATCTGTTTCTATTGTCATAATCTTTATTATTATTCATGTTATTATTATTATTAATATTGTCATTATTATTATTATCATTATAGTTATTACCAGTATAATTACTATTGTTGTTATCAATACTATTATTATTAATTATAATAATTATTATTGTTATTATTATTATTAATATTATTAATACTATCAGTGTACGCACGCACACACACACACGAACACACACATACACAAACCGACAAATAAAAAACTCAGAGAAGCCCCACAGATACATCATTATTACTATAATGATAATAATAATAACAGTAATAATTATAATCATTATTTTCATTATTACCAATATTATTACTATTATGATCATGATCATAACCATGATAATGATGAATCATCTTTATTTTTCATTATTTGTCATCACCTTCATTATGATATTTCTCGATTATCATTATAATCATTATTGTTATAATAATCTCTATTTATTATCATTTTTATGATCATCGTTGTTATCATCAGAAGAGAGAAGAGAGGAGAGAGAGAGAGAGAGAGAGAGAGAGAGAGAGAGAGAGAGAGAGAGAGAGAGAGAGAGAGAGAGAGAGAGAGAGAGAGAGAGAGAGAGAGAGAGAGAGAGAGAGAGAGAGAGAGAGAGAGAGAGAGAGAGAGAGAGAGAGAGAGAGAGAGAGAGAGAGAGAGAGAGAGAGAGAGAGAGAGAGAGAGAGAGAGGGAGGGAGGGAGGGACAGAGAGAGAGAGACAGACCAGAGAAAGAAAGAGACAGACAGACAGACAGACAAACAAAAAAGACCCCTACCTTCTCTCCTCCCTCGTCCCCCCCCCTTCCACAATCTACCACCCCCCACCTAACCACCCCCTCTCCCTCTCTCTCTCCCCTTCCTCCCCCAACCAGAAATTCAAGCAGCTCTACGCCAAGCTCTACAGGACATCCCGGAGCGGTGTGGCCCGGCTGGAGCTCTATTCGGACGGGAAAGCTTCGGTGTCAGGTCCGCCGTGTCAGGTCATCGTGGCATCGGAGGTCACGAAGGTGGCAACTTGCGGGCCGCTGTCGTTTCAGGTGCGGAGGCTCTCTGGGCCGTTTCAGTAGAGATTTGTTGTTGTTGTTGTTGTTGTTGTGTTGTGTTGTGTGTGTGTGTGTGTGTGTGTGTGTGTGTGTGTGTGTGTGTGTGTGTGTGTGTGTGTGTGTGTGTGTGTGTGTGTGTCGTGTGGTGTGTGTGTGTGTGTGTGTGTGTGTGTGGTGTGTGTGTGTATAGTGTGTACAAATGTATTACATATATATATATATATATATTATATATATATATATATATATATATATATATATGTATATATATATATGTATCTCTCTTTCTTCCTCCCTCCCTCCCTTCTCTCTTCTCTCTGTTTTTACTCTCTCTCTCTCTCTCTCTTTACTCTTTGTTTCTCTCTCTTTTTTTTTACTCTCTCTCTCTTTCTTTTTTACTCTTTGTCTCTCTATTTCTTTTTTTTTTCTCCTCTTTCTTTTTACTCTTCGTTCTCTTCTCTTTTTTTTTTTTTTTTTTTTTTTTTTTTTTTTTTACTCTTCCTCTCTCTCTCTTTTTGGAGGAGGGATATTCTTTTGCAATTTAGGGATTTTGTTTAATTTATTCCTGTCAGTCTGCCTCTGTTCTTCACGCCTGCATCTCCCATTTTTTATATATTCATTCCAGTCATTCATTTATTTAATTTCCTTTTCCTTTTCCTTTTCTATAATTCCCTCTTTTCCCTTTCTCTTCTTACCTCTTTCTCTTTGCTGGTTTTCCCCCTTTAATTTTTACATTTTCTTTATTTTTCACCTATTGTTCTTTAGCCTTATATATATATATATATATATATATATATATATATATTTATATATATATATATATATATATATATATATTATATATATATATAGTTATTGTTGTTTATAAGTTATTAACTTTAGCGTCACTGAAACAGAAATGACTGCAGCTAATAGAAGTGTTATCATTAATGACTATTTACAATTCTTATGTATGTCCAACGCTACTAGATTAGTATGTTTAAGCTTTACACCATATTAGATATGTTTTGTTAAAGTTTTGTCAAACTTGAATGCATATTTTTGTTGAAGTTATGTCGTATATGATTTAGAATTACATCATTTAACCTATGATATATTCAGATTATAATAATCTCATGTTAAAGCTGTGTTGATAAAGTCTTGCAATTTCCCTTCTCGTTAAAATGGTTAAAATGATTTCACTCCTTTCAGGTCGCGATCAAGGACCAAGTGAATGACTTCTCCGTCGACAGCAATGCGGAAAGGAATGCCTGGGTCAGGGTAAGTAAGGGAAAGGGAGACGAGAGGGAAATGGGAGAAGGAGGAGAGAAAAATGAGAGAGAGGGAAATGGGAGAAGGAGGAGAGAAAATGAGAGAGGGGGAAATGGGAGAAGGAGGAGAGATAAATAGAGAAATGAGAGAGTAGGTGAAATGGGAGAAGGATGAGAGAAGAGGAGAGAAAACTGAGAGATGAGCGTAATATGGGTGATAGAGGAGGAGAAGGATAAATGAAGTAAGAGAGGCCGATTAATTCGCGCAGAAGCGGTTGGAAGATGAGTATTAAACTCGTGAGAGACGGAGGGCTGAAAGGAGTGAGAAGGGTAGGAGGAAGAATGAGAAGAGAGGGAATATGGGAGAAGAGAGGAGAGTGAAAATGAGAGAGAGATACATTGGAGAAGGCAGAGAGAAACATGGAGAGAGAGGGTAATGGAGAAGGAGGGAGAGGAAAATGAGACGAGAGGAACATGGGAGAAGAGGAGAGAAATGAGAGAGATGGGAAATGGGAGGAGGAGAGAATGAGAGAGAGGGATGAACTGGGCAGCAAGGAGTGAGGAAAATGAGAGATGAGGGAATATAAGGTGTAATGGAGCCGTAGTGAGATAGAATATACTCTGACCGAGATCTGAATGGATAATAGGAGGATGAGAAAATTAACGTTGAGAGTGATGAGTTGGTACACATTGGGCAGACGAGAACGGAGAGAAAATCGTTTAGAGAGAAAGGGTAAGTATAAGAGCAATTTTAACTATTACAAAACAGTAATTTCGCTCCCTTAATGTTAGGTTAACTTGTCCGTAATGTTCCTCCCTCTGATGTTAGGGAGAGTTTAAACTATTCCGTAAATGTTCCCTCCCTCTGATGATAGAGTTACTTTACGTACATTTTCCTCCCTCTAATGTTAGGTTAACTTTGCGTTAATGTTCCTCAAAATATAAATGTTATAGAAGATAAATAATTCACATAATGATATCATACACACAAATCTAATATGTTAGATATAAAAACTTTTACGTAATGTTTTCCTCCCTCTAATGTTTAAAGGGTAACTTTACGTAATGTTTCCTCCCTCTGCATAGTTAGGTTAACTTTTACGTAATGTTCCTCCTCTTTATGTTATGTGGTACTTTACGAAATAATGTAATCATAACCTTAATGTTTAGGTTAACTTTACGTAAATGTTTCCTCTAATGTAGGTTAACTTAGTAATGTTCCTCCTAATGTTAGAAGGTTAATCTATTACGATATGTTCCTCCCCTTGATGTTAGGTTACTCCAGAGAGAATGGCTTCCTCCCCTCTAAGTTAGGTTAACTTTACGTAATGTTCCTCCAAATTGATGTTAGGTTAAACTTTCCAAATGTTGCCTTAAATATAATGTTAGGTTAAATTTTACGTAATGTTCCTCCCTCTGATGTTAGGTTAACTTTACGTAATGTTCCTCCCCTCTGATGTTAGGTTTAACTTTCCATAAATGTTCCTCCCTTCTAATGTCTAGGTTACTTTACGTAATGTGTGCCTCCCTCTTGATGTTAGGTTAACTTTCCGTAAGTGTTACTTAGTCATTCCCCTGTAAATTTCTTGCACTCTAATAAATTGAGATAAGAGCACTATGTGCAATTTGGCCAGTGGATATTCGCTCATGGTGTTCAGCTAGGTTAGTTTAAACTTCCTTCTCCCTTCTTGGGAATCTACACACACATAAAGATATACTCATATAAACACATAATTATCATATTATCACTATAAATAGCATACACCCTCTATACAATAACTCTCTCATTATCCCTATATAAGATCTCCCTCGCACTCATAACAAGCATCTCTTCTCCTTCCTTCTCCTATTCCCTCTCTCTCCCTGCCCTATACCTCTCTCTCCCTTTTCTTCCTATTATACCTCTAGCTCGATCGGTTACGCCCTGTCCTGCCCCTCTCCCTCTCTCTCCCTCTTTCTCCTATTTCCCTTCGTCTACCCTAGAACATACTTACCACTACATACTATCACTTCCTTTCTAGCCTATATATGCCCTCCTCGTTCTCCCTGGCCCCTCTCCCTCTCTCTTCATATATATCTATCCTCCTCCCGTCGCCATTTTTCCCTCTCTCCATTTCCTGTTTCCTCCTTCCCCTATTCCCCTCTCTCTCATTTATTTCTCTCCTCCTCTCTCCCATTTCGCTCTCTCTCGTTTTCTCTCCTACCCTATGTTCCCTTCTCTCTCGATATTTTCTCTCTCCTCCTTCTCCCATTTCCCTCTCTCTCATTTCTCTCCTCCTTCTTCCTTTCCCTCTCTCTCATTTCGTCTCCCTCCCAATTCGCCTTCTCTCTCATCCTTCCGTCCTCCTCCGAAAGTTCCCGCTCTCCTTCATTTTTCTTCCACAAAAAAATAAAGAAACAAGAAGTAAAAAAAAAAGATTAGCCAGTGACTATCACAAAAAGATATGAATAGTAAAAAGAGGAAGTTCGTGTGAGAAGGAGTAGACAATTATTAATAAAGAAAAAATAGAAAAACAAAGAGTATTTAAAAAAGCTCATGACTTTGAATCGTTGAAAAACTAATGGTGAGTAAGGAGCGAGGAAAATGCAGAGAGAGGGAAAATGCGGAGGAGGAGGAGAGAAAATGAGAGAGAGGGAGAGGGCAGGGAGATCGAGAGAAATAGGAGAAGAGGAGAAGAGGGAGAGACGAGAGGGAAATAGGAGAAAGAGGAGAGAGAGGGAGAGGGCAGGGAGACGAGAGGGAAATAGAGAAGAGGAAGAGAGAGGGAGAGGGCAGGGAGACGAGAGGGAAATAGGAGAAGGAGGAGAGAGAGGGAGGAGGGCAGGGAGACGAGAGGGAAAATAGGAGAAGAGGAGAGAGAGGGAGAGGACAAAGAAGAAGGAACGAGAACAGGGAGATTCAGAGGGAGAGGAGGAGTTAACTAACCTAAGCTGAAACAATGGGAAGAATACCTGGCCAGATGCAATAGGCCTAGCGCAAAAGAGTGCAGAATTTACAGGGGAATGACTAAGAACATTACGGAAAGTTAACCTAACATCAGAGGGAACATTAAAGTTAACCTAACATTTAGAGAGGAGGAACATTACGGAAGTTAACCTAACATCAGAGGGAGGAACATTACGTAAAGTTAACCTAACATTAGAGGGAGGAACATTACGGAAAGTTAACCTAACATCAGAGGGAGGAACATTACGTAAAGTTAACCTAACATTAGAGGGAGGAACATTACGGAAAGTTAACTACATCGGAACATTACGTAAAGTTAACCTAACATTAGGAGGAACATTACGTAAAGTTAACCTAACATTAGAGGGAGGAACATTACGTAAAGTTAACCTAACATTAGGAGGAACATTACGTAAAGTTAACCTAACATTAGAGGGAGGAACATTACGGAAAGTTAACCTAACATTAGAGGGAGGAACATTAGAAAGTTAACCTAACATTAGAGGGAGGAACATTACGTAAAGTTAACCTAACATTAGAGGGAGGAACATTACGGAAAGTTAACCTAACATTAGAGGGAGGAACATTACGAAAGTTAACCTAACATTAGAGGGAGGAACATTACGTAAAGTTAACCTAACATCAGAGGGAGGAACATTACGTAAAGGAGGAGGAACATTACGGAAGTTAACCTAACATTAGAGGGAGGAACATTACAGTTAACTAACATTAGAGGAGGAACATTAAAGTTAACCTAACATCAGAGGGAGGAACTTACGTAAAGTTACCTAACATCAGAGGGAGGAACATTACGGAAAGTTAACCTAACATTAGAGGGAGGAACATTACGGAAAGTTAACCTAACATTAGAGGGAGGAACATTACGTAAAGTTAACCTAACATTAGAGGAGGAACATTACGGAAAGTTAACCTAACATTAGAGGGAGGAACATTAACGAAAGTTAACCTAACGTAAAGTTAACATTAGAGGGAGGAACATTACGTAAAGTTAACCTAACATCAGAGGGAGGAACATTACGTAAAGTTAACCTAACATTAGAGGAGGAACATTACGGAAAGTTAACCTAACATTAGAGGGAGGAACATTACGTAAAGTTAACCTAACATCAGAGAGGAACATTACGTAAAGTTAACCTAACGAGGAGGAACATTACGAAAGTTAACCTAACATCAGAGGGAGGAACATTACGTAAAGTTAACCTAACATTAGAGGGAGGAACATTACGTAAAGTTAACCTAACATCAGAGGAACATTACGTAAAGTTAACCTAACATTAGAGGGAGGAACATTACGGAAAGTTAACCTAACATTAGAGGGAGGAACATTACGTAAAGTTAACCTAACATAGAGGGAGGAACATTACGTAAAGTTAACCTAACATCAGAGGGAGGAACATTACGTAAAGTTAACCTAACATTAGAGGGAGGAACATTACGTAAAGTTAACCTAACATTAGGAGGAACATTACGTAAAGTTAACCTAACATTAGAGGGAGGAACATTACGTAAAGTTAACCCGAGGAGGAACATTACGTAAAGTTAACCTAACATTAGAGGGAGGAACATTACGTAAAGTTAACCTAACACAGAGGGGAGGAACATTACGTAAAGTTAACCTAACATTAGAGGGAGGAACATTACGGAAAGTTAACCTAACATCAGAGGGAGGAACATTACGTAAAGTTAACATTAACATTACGGAGGGAGGAAATTACGGAAAGTTAACCTAACATTAGAGGGAGGAAACATTACGTAAAGTTAACCTAACATTAGAGAGGAACATTACGGAAAGTTAACCTAACATTAGAGGAACATTACGAAAGTTAACCTAACATTAGAGGAGGAACATTACGTAAATAACCTAACATCAGAGGGAGGAACATTACGGAAAGTTAAACCTAACATCAGAGGGAACATTACGGGGAACCATTAACGAACATTACGAAAAGTTAACCTAACATCAGAGGGAGGAACATTACGTAAAGTTACCTAACATCAGAGGGAGGAACATTACGGAAAGTTAACCTAACATTAGAGGGAGG